CAGTTACAAGTTTTAACATCACTAAGCTAGCGACACGTGTGTTTCAAAGGTTTCCCAAATACAGTTACAAGTTTTAACATCACTAAGCTAGCGACACGTGTGTTTCAAAGGTTTCCCAAATACAGTTACAAGTTTTAACATCAGTAAGCTAGCGACACGTGTGTTTCAAAAGTTTTGCACATGCGCAATCTCTCCAATTTTTAGTTCAGTTTCTAAGTCGTTATATTATATTAATCGCTTTAGTTGGAACCCCATTTAACAGAGAGCTGTAACATATTTTGCCAAATAATAATAGTAAGGGCTCGGTGTGGTCCAGATTCCATTACTTTCTACGTAACATCATGTTAAACTTGAATCCCTTTTTTTGAGGATTGTGGTAGGTAGTTTGTTCAAAGATGATAGATGGCTAATGTGAATTTCGTAGAGCATCCCGAAAATGCTCAATTGAATTTAGATTCACTGATTGTACTGATCATAAATGATAACTGAAGCCAGTATTAACAAGTAAAGAAGGATTTTTAAATGTAGGGATCGCTAATATCAATCCTTCAAAAAAATGAAAACAAGATATTAGGGATGTCATATGTATCATATACTTGCTTTTTTGAAACTTTTTTTTACTTGTTTTTTTTTTAATGCAGTGTTTCAATAGACATAGGAAGGTTGTATTTATAACCAAATTCTAAAAAACAATGAGGTTTCAACTGTAATATTTATTGTTTATCTATTTTGGGCTGGTACTTCCTGTACTTAAGCTTTTTAAAGAAACACTAAATATTTGAAAAAAAGGGGTAATGATAACATTATTTAAATATAAATAATAATCCCTGTAGCATAATCCCACTGGAGCATAGGGCCCCAACAACACCTCGCCGACGGAAGTTGTTGTTGCAGTAATTTTTTAGCAGGTTGGTTTTTACGGGGCGGAGTTGGGACTTGGGACCAGGCAAAGGTGGTGGCATCCCTGCCGGGGAACGAACCCAGTACCTTTAGATTATAAATCCAATGCGCTCTCCACTGCGCTATAGGGACACATAACATTATTTAATACACTATAATTATGATTTTTGTTTATTACTACTGGTTAATAATAATTACAAAAGCGGATACTCCGTTTGAAACTATGTCATCTCAATGAAACTGGTTGACACCATTGTTCTGATTTGTGAGTTATCATGTAATAAAAAAAGAAGCAGAAGAAAGAATAACAAGAAATTAAAACTTTTTGCTATGATATTTATAGACATTTACAGAAGTTGTAACTCATTCATTACATGTATATTGTTATAAAAAGAAACACTGTATAATATTGTAAAATTCTGATGACCTATTAATAGGATATTTAAAATACCATTTCGACGAACAATCCGAGCCATCCCTAAACAGACAGTCCTACCGCCTGCCTGATATTCAGTGTTAGTTGGACACGAAAGGTAACTGGAGTCATCGTTAATATTCAATGTTAGTATTGGACACGAAAAGTGACTGAAGCCATTGCTGATATTCAGTGTTAGTATTGGCCAAAAATGATAATTAAAGCCATTGTTGATATTCAGTGTTAGTATTGGCCAAAAATGATAACTAAAGCCACTGTTGATATTCAGTGTTAGTATTGGACACGAAAAGTAACTGAAGCCATTGCTGATATTCAGTGTTAGTATTGGCCAAAAATGATAACTAAAGCCATTGTTGATATTCAGTCTTAGTATTGGACACGAAAAGTGACTGAACCATTGCTGATATTCAGTGTTAGTATTGGCCAAAAATGATAACTAAAGCCATTGTTGATATTCAGTCTTAGTATTGG